GGGGGGGGGGGGGGAGACAGCCTTCACTATTTTTTCCTGTGATCCTTCATTTGTCAAGAACAAGGATTTGTTGTATTCCCTTACTGAGAAGGTACAGACTTTATACATGGCCTGTATTTCAGTGATGCTGAGGTGTTCAGCATAAAGAACTGCCTTATTTTATGATCCAGAGCAGATCCTTTCTCTGTGTCTGTCTTCCTTAAGGTTATTCTTCATCTCAGCTATTGAGAACTTGCTCTTTTTCTTGACACCTAGAATCACAAGGGAAAATATCTGCCAGGGTATGTAGTCTCACTGATACATTGGTATCGTATGCTCTTTGCTGGGAAAAAGAGGTTAATATTCCAAATTGTCTGCATTTATATATACATTCACTAGTATTCCCTCATTTTGATCTGTTTTGTAAATTTTATAACCTTGAATATGTGTATCTTTATTGAATTTGCTTATCTGAGCAACTCCTAAGTTAACAAGAGAGGAACCTACTTGTGCAAAGTTGCTAGATTGAAATGTTGGATGCTTTTCCGTATTGCCTTCAGAACAAGACCTAGAAGACATAATCCAGCTTCTGCTTAGTTCTAGTGTCAATTCTCCACTCCCATTCTCTTTCATTCTACTACATTCTATTAGTTTATGCTTTTCACCTTCTTGGAGAGGTTTCTCGTTGTTAGGACCTTAATCTAGCTCTTTCAAGGCCTTTTTACAGCTCTGTGAACTCTTGACTGTATTTTAAGTTACATATAAGAGGAAAGATGAGTGTTGTGAAGTGTGTGTGGACTTCATTGTTTCCTTTATATTGGATGTTGTTTTCTAAAAGGTCATAAGAGCATACTTGTATCACTCCCTAGTAATTGTTTTTACTTCCACCAGGCTATTAGCCTTTCTACTTCCCTGCTTAAATCTGTGTGTCTGTATTAATGATGTATGTATTTTATATGTTCCCATACTACTTTTTTCCTTGATTGAATAGTACTGTTCATCCAGAAACTAGCTGTTCATTGTGGCAATGGGGAGAAGGGACTTAAAAGTATCTTTATGTAAATGTCATAATCCAGTTGAATAATAGAATTAACACAACAGTTCTGTGGGGTAGTTTGGACTAAAGGTCTGTACAGTAGCATCTTGCTTCCAGAAGTGGCCATTTCCTAAATGAAGAGAGCAAATATATAACAATGCTTCCCCAGAATATTTCGTTGCTCTACAAGAGTTCATGGTTTATAGATTTCCTGGGTTGAGGTGCTGTCTTTAGTTTTTGGATAAAGGTTTTTTATTTCCCAGGGCAGGGGGGGAAAAAATACATTGCCTCAAAAATGTGGTAGTGTTCCATAGTTCTTGTTTAACTGTTGTTTTTTTCTCTCTTTAAAGGTAATGTTAAGTTCAACTGTATAGTAACCTCTTCTCAAAAAGCATTCTATGGTAAAATGATTTGTGAAAATATGTTGAAAAGTTGTTATTTTTTGGCCTTCAATGTTTTAAACCGCTTAAATTCCTGTATTATTAGATGTTGTTAAGGAGGTAATGAAGAAGAAGCTGATTCAGGCCTGGTTACAGTTTACTGATGGAGATGTCTTAGAATTGCTTCATCGACTGGATGTGGAAAACTGCCCAGAAGTGGCCATCCTAGTACTAAATGCTGTGTTTTCATTATCTCCACTTCATGACATTGTTCAGAATGGTAAAAACCTTGACAGCAGGTATGCAGATCAGTTTCTTTTCCAAAAGGTGAATATTTTGTATCAGAATATTAAATTAAAGGTTATATCTAAACGGGGAGCAGAGTAACCGTTACCTGTGATGAAAGACTTGTGGTGTAAACCATGATGTTTCCCTGGTGTTTATGTACTTAGATATTTTGGATTAAAAAAAAAAAGGGGGCTGAAAATGATTGTGTTGGATAAGCAAGAGGAAAAAATGAAAAATGTCTTTTGACTTGTTTCCTGAACACCCCAAAAGTCATTTTCTTAGAATTTAAGAGGTGGCACTTAATTAATCAACTAAACTAGCTTTTCTATGAGTAACAAGAGTAATTTATTTCCTGTGCTGTTTGTACAGCTTACAGTTAAGGCAGTGCTCTAGTTTACCCCCACAACTTTAATTTCCTCTCTTCTTTTAACCTGTGGTGCTGAAAAGCTTCTTTTGTCCCCTTCCTCTTCCCTCTCATTAATAATGCTGGGTTTTTTCATACGTTTCCTAGTCCTCTTTGGCTTCATTCTATCCTTTCTGCTGAGCCAGGGGCAGCACAATTTGGGGATGGTTTAGTTATCCACAAACTTTTTGGAGAATCAATCAGAATAGAATTGTTGGGCTTGTGTTTCAGCCTTCTTCTGGAGGTATTTTACTTGTAGTAACAGAGCTAGACAGAAGTTGGTATCTTAGAGGCTTCTTTTCCTGTGTTAATGTTGGTAGAATTTGACTGAGTTCCTAATCTATGAAGAAGATGGCGTCATGAATATTAAGATCCATAAAGCAAAAATGAAGGGGGGAAGAAAACAAGAAATTGTAAGTTGTAGGAAATTGCTAAGGGAGGCAAAAAGGTGTGAGAAGAAACAGCTTTAATTGAGGCAAACAGAGTGGAATGATTGTTAACAGTGGTAGGAGTCTAATCTCAGATGTTAAACTTAAGTGACAAATTGTCACCGATTTAAAAAGTGGTAACAATCTTATTCTGTGTTTTGGGGGAAAATGTGTAATGTCATCGTACGAAGTGTCTTGCATTCTTGTAGTAGTTTATGACGTGTTTTGAAATCAGTAGATGCTGCATCCATTGTACTCCAGAGCTATAGATGTGGGCCTGTCTGGCTTTAAAAAGCATCAGTAATGGTGAAGTAATTTACAGCCTCCAGAAATGTGCCAATATCTTAAGAGGTTCAAAGGAAAAATTTATATAGTTATGGACTTGTCAGTCTGACTTTGATCCTGCACAAAATAAGGCTTCCATTCTGAAAGAGGCTGAGAATTTTTTTAAGTAGTAGGATCTGTTAGACTAATGACATTGAGAAGTGAGTGAAATTATTCAGTTTTTAGTAGTTATTTGATTTATGGAAAATAATAGACTTGTTCTTGCATGATGTTTCTAACTACAGCTTGAGTGATGCAGTTTAAACGCTTAGATTGTTGAAGTCTATGATTTCTGTTTGTACAATTTACATTTAAATACTTGTCAGATTAATGAAAAGACATCATATGATCAGTTTTTATCTATGTGTTGCTGGGTGGGGTGTTTTTGTGTTGTTTTTTTTTTTTTGGTGTGTGTGTGTGTGAGGGCCCTAAAAGATAATTGTTACTAATAATTTGAAAGTAAAATGGGATTCAAGAGCATGAAGTACCACTGATAGTGATACTGATTTCTGTTTTGAGGTAGAATTTATGTACAACTTAATGTTTGGCTTCTGAAAACACAAAGATTATGCTGTGTTTAGCATGCAAAAGACTATGATTATAAAAAGGGAGTCCTATGACTGGTAAATGGAGGATGAACTTACAGACATGCTGAGGAGCAGTTCTATTACTTTTCTCATTTGACATACTATGATTGCTACTTGAATATTATGTGAAGATCTTGTATTAAGAATGGAAGAAACAATTCATAACAGAAGCTGAAAAATATTTTTATGCAATTGATGCACTTATTGGATTAATGAAGTTCAGTTTTCCAGGCTTGTACAGTGGTAACAATATTTCATTAGAATTAAAGTACTTGCATGGTTGCTCTAGGAGGTCACAAAGGCTGAGAAGAATCCATCTGCAAGTTGGTGTGAACAGCCTTGCCTTAAAATACTGAGAAGTGCAATATAGTGAGAGGTTCAGGGGAATCTGTGTCCTCACTTCAGAAAGAGGAAGTTATTTTTATCAGTCTCTAAGTATTTCTGTGGGGAGTACCTTTGGGATTTTATTTTCATCTTCAGAAATTACCTGTTTCTGTGCATTTATTATCTTTGATTCTGTTTTGTTTGTTTTTGTTTAGAAAACTGATTCCACTGGAAGACTTAACAGCTGAGAATGTGATTTATTGGAGATGTCTTTGTGAGTATCTAAAATCAAAAGGTGAAGAAGGTGAAGATTTACTAGAAAAGATCTTGCCAGAACCAGCTATATATGCAGATTACTTATTAAGGTACATTACATTTAAAACTTATCACTAAGATTAGTTTGATTTTTTTTTTTAAGACGATAATATGTTTTTTATTAAACTTATTCAGGTTTCCATCAAAGCTGAAGTTGTGTTTGAACAGTGATTTTTTAAAAAAATTTTTGTTAAACTTTTTTTAAGATTTTTTGAGAGGATTTTCTTCTTTTAAACAAAAACTTAAAACAGCAAATCTATAACTTGAAAACAATTTTTGGAATGTCCTTTCTCAAGAATGCTAGATCAATAGCATATAGTTCTTTGCCATTTAAGATAATTTTTCTGTCATACACAGCTATTCTGTGTCTATCTGTTATAATGTAGCTTGCTGTGTGTTTGCAAAGAGCTTGCAGAAAGAGGTTTTTAGAGCTTGCAGAAACAGATGCTTTTTTTTATTGTTATAATTTGTGAAAATAAATAAAATTTAGCTGCTGTCCCTAAGAGAAGTGGTTTTGAAACTGAAAGTTCATTCCCTTTTCTTTCCCCTGCTCAGGCAGGCATGCTTCCCAAAAACTTTTATGTTTGAAGGCAGTGACAGAGCTGCTAAATGAACCAATTCAGTGAGAACAGATAATTTGGGGAAAAAAGAGAATGTTTTGTTAAGTCAATCTTTTACCAAAGAGAAGAAAGGTAAATTTTTTTTGTCTCAGTGGGATACTGCAGTCTTAATGTAAAATTTGAACAGAAATTATGTTTGTGAGCATGGAGAATGCTGAGAAATCTTAACTGAGGTATTGTAATTGCAAAATGTAGAGTGAAAACTTAAAATTATTGAAAATAAGATCTGCTGAAAAAAGCATTGTTTTGATAGATGTTTCTAATTAAAAATATACATATTCTTTTCTCACTTCAGTGGGTGTAGTATACTAGTAGTACTTCCAGGAATCATTGCTGCTTTTCAATGTGGAATGTGCTGACATGTTTCATAAACGTTTAATAAATGAAGTGTCTGTGCTTCCTTAATTTTGAAATGTGGATCCAGGCTGTTGGGTGTAAATTTATTAATTCATAATTAATTTAAGAGTCCATAAAACTTCTGTTCTCAAAAAAAAAAAAAAAAGTTTTTTTTCCATCCAATCTTACTCAAAATGCCTTCAGTCATCTCCTTCAGGATGAGACTGAGTAAGATTAATTAGGTGTGCTAGTACTTGTACTACTCATTAGTGAGTTGTGCCACCAGTTGCTTCAGGTAAGATTTGCAATTGTACAATTCAAATCTTTATTTGCACTGTGAGTGTATGGGTTAGGAGGAGCAAGAAACTGCAAGTCTTTGATACGTAAGAAATGCAGGATTGTAAGCTTCATTTATGTATTTCACTATTACCTGGTGCAGGTAAAGTTATTGTTAAATGATCAGAAACAGTTGTCTACATTGTAATTTCAGATGTTCTTGAATGTTAGCTACATGGAAAATTTTTGTCCTAACTTTGAAGAAATTTTAAGAATATGTGCTAAATATAGTGAACTGTTGCTGAGAAGTATCTGCAAAGCTGTGGTAAAAATAAGCATTTTTTTTCACATCTCATCAGTATTTTAATTTTATATATTACATTATATTCAGTATTTTGTACATGATATATTTTACTCCATATTTACTGAACATGCATGTTTTCATTGATGGATAAAGTTTTGATAAAAGAACAATGACTCTTGAAAAATAAAGAAACGGAACAAACTGATTATGCTTTCCATGCTTTGCAGCTGAGGGACAACAGTTTGTCCTTCTGTGATGGCACAGTTGATCAGATAAAGAATTTTAAATTTACTGCACACTTTGATTTTCTTGTACTTCATTTTGTAGGCAATATAATATATCTGAACATGTAGAAGAATACATAGTAACTAAATATGAAGAAAAATACTAGTTGAATATATGAAAAATAGTACATGTATAAATTTTTTTCCTAATATGCTGCCTTTATGCAGGGGTACAAAACTGAATTCACATGTACAAACATATCTTGCAATTTTCTGTTTCATAACATTTTGCTTCCAAAACAAGGGATTTTTTTTAATGAAGTGCATTATATTTAAACTGTACATTATTTGGTATAAATATCTTTCTGAAACTATTAATCTATGAAAAGGAGAACATAATAATTCATTTTTAAGGTTTGTAATTAAAGTAACCACTTGTTGTTTATGCAGGTTAGGAAAGTGGTGGGGTTTAGGGTTTGGGTTTTTGTGGGGTGTGTTTGGTTGTGACATTTTTTTAATGGGTGGATTTTTTAGTTTGTTTTCTTTCCAACAGTGATTCTGAATGATAATTATATCTGTTCTGTTTGGATTCAGTTACCTTCAAAGTATGCCAGTTCTTAGTGAAGAACAAAGAGGAGACTTTACTTGTTTTGAAAACCTGATGACGAAAGAATTTATAGGCCAGCAACTGATTTTTATCATAGGCTGCATGGATACCATGGAAGAGGGAGGAAGGTAACCTGAAACATAAAATCTGTGTTATTAAGCTTATGGAACTCATGCCTGTGGAAAGCACAGAGTCTGTGTTGGGAAAATAACCTGCTCAAACAGACAAAATACAGTTCTAATGCTAGCTGGAAAAAAAGACACGGTCTCTAATAGAATTGTTCCCAAAAGTCTGCCAAATATCTTGTGCTTACTTTTATGGAAATATGAGTTTCAATGCAGGTACAATATTGTTTGGGGAGAACAAATTCAGTTGTTGTCATAATATATTCTTGAGATTGTGAAGTTACAAGACTGTTCATTTGGAATGTAGTATATAAAAAAAAAAAATAGATAGATTACTTCTCAGCAGATGACTTGTAGCAAGTAGCCTGTGTGTTTCTTATGTTTTTAAGCCTAAAGGTTGCAGATGTTTTAGATGCCAAGTTGAATTGGACTGTGTTAGCTGAGTCATTCCTAGAATTTGAACAGCATTTTGATGTGAAGTAGTAAGAATGAATAAATTTGGAAGTTCATACCATCACCGGCACTTCATGAAAAATTGCAGTAATGGCAGTACAAACACAGCAATAATTCCAAACTCTCAGTGGACTGGCAGGATAATTTTTGTAATTTTTTGTTTGTTTGTTTTGTTTGTTTCTAGCTGGATAATTTCTATGAAAGCATTCTACAGTATTAATACTCTGTTTTCTGTTGGTATGACCTTTAATTGGACAGTAGTGATACCTGATTAAAAAATTCAGCATTTCCTAATCAAGAGAAATGAGAAAAAGACAAAGTAAGCAAGTTTTCTTACTTGCTGATTAAGAAAAATATATTCAGCAGTTAATAGAGCTGTAGAGAAGCTTTTCTTACAATGTATTATAAAGTCTTCATCACACTAACAATGGGTAAAATATTAACTCATGTCTTCCATTTTCTTGAATAAGCAAACAGATTGGGTTTTTTTCTTTAATGCAGAAAGCATCTGGTAGTTACTTTGCAAAAGATTCTCACTCTACCTGCAACTTCAACAGCCCTTATATCTCTGCTTGTGGAAAGATTACTTCATATTGTTAAGGATGATGACAGAAGAATTGAAATTGTAAGTAATTCTAAAGGCTCATTGTTTTTTAGGCTCTGCCTTCCCTGTATATCAAACAGCGTTTATGAAGAATTGCAGCAGAAATATCAGCAGTTAAATGCTTTTCCAAACTAAAAATATTTAAAAATATTTTGTTTCACACACACACACACACACACACACACACACACACATATGTTTTGGGTTTTTTTATAAGCATAGCTGTATTTTTGTGGTTGTCTAAAGATCTTTAACTTTAGAGAACTGACTGACGTTGGAAGTGTAACCCTCAAATTAGGAAACTATTAGAGTTTGACAGCCTGCTTCAGAATTCTATGTAATATTAGGTCAAACAGTTTTGACCAAAACATTCAAAGTTTGGGATAATGTACATTTCTGGGTTTCAGCTTTCTCTTCCCTACTTTAAGCTGAGATAGCTACTAAAAACCCGTATAAGAAAAGTATTTTGTATAGTAGAGTCTTCATATACAGCATAATTATTTAAACTTGATTCCTGAAAAACAGACCATTGATTTTGCTCTAACATTTTAAACGAAGCTTGTGCTTAAGGACCGAGACCACTTTTCAGAAAGCTTCAATCCAGTGGGTAAAGTTATGATATAGGTTTCTTACATGATTATGATGGCAGAACTATGGTAATCTTAGCATTATAGTACAACAGTAATAGTAAATGCATGCATTTCTGTTATTAGAGTGAAATAACACTGATTCAATATATTCTGATTTGGTACAACTTGAGAGGAAGTTAAACTGAGGTGATCTGATGCAAGATAAATTAAGACTATCATGTCTCATTCAGTCTTCAGTTTTCCTCATTTTTCATCTAAGTTTTAATATTGTAATGGGTCTAACTTTGAAGAAAACCCTAACCAACTGAAAAACTCTCAGCCTAATTCTTGTTCTAAGCATGTATTTGGCTTGAAATTAAATTACTTACATGGCTTCTTATACAGTGGTTTATAGACCTTTAAATTATAGTGTTCTTAGTTGTATTTTGATTGAAGTAGTAACATATAAAAAAACCTTACTCTTATCACTAGTAATTCTTTTTAAAGCACGTGTTCAGATCTAGAGTAGATGGTACCTGTGAACTGTTGGCATAGAAACTGCTTGACTTATTCATGGATATACATACAGTCTTCTATTTTCTTGTTTAACTAGCTAAATGGTAGAAACCACTAGACTTTCATGGTTAAACTATGTATTGTCAAATTGTGGATGTTCAATACTTTTTTGGAAGGATGGCATTTTAAATTTGGAAAAGTGAAATCCTTAATATCTTGATACCTGAGCTGAAATTAATGGCACTAATATGCTGTTTGTGACAATAGATTGCTGAAATTATATCAGAAGTTCTTGAACCAATTGTTACAGTCGACCAGCCTATTGACGTTGCTGAAATAAGAAGGCGGGAGCTTAAGGTAAGCAGATTATAGTTGAGACTTTTTTTTTTTTTAAGCATATCCATCTAGTAAGAGTTTTATATAGCAGTGTATTATTGGCTAGTGTCAAGATTGTATTGTTGGCTAATACCACAAAGGTTAGGGTATTATATTAATTTTATTTTTACTTTGTATTTCAGTTGGCTGAAATAAAAGTGAAACTTATTGAAGCAAAACAAGCTTTAGAAGAATGTGTTACTCTGCAGGATTTTAAAACTGCATCAGTATTAAAAGAGAACATAACTGAGTTGGAACAGAGAAAAAATGATCTGATAAAAGAAGCAGAGCAACCTGAAATTGAAGAAATGCGTGTGGAGAAGGTCTCTTTCCTTCATGTATTCCCAAATGCTGGTTATGTTTTGATGTTTATTCATCGTTTATAAAAGAAAGTGTATTTTGGCCTTGTATCATCTAAATTTTTTAAAGTGAAAATGAGCATTTATGGTATTAGTATTCTCCTTCTGTATGTGTACAAGGTGATGGTATGCTCTAGCAAAAATGAATTGCAGTTAAAGTATTCTTTTGTCCTTGAGTAACTGAAGAATTTTAATTGTCTCTTTTACTGCTTTTACTCTAAAGTAACTGAAAACACGAACCTGAATCTCTTTTTATCATAGTTCATAGACAGATTTTGATTAATATTCTTGCACAACAAATGTAGTGGACAGGAAATGTTTATTTGGGTAGGGAAAAATTATGATTAATGTTCTTATTCTCCTTATCACATTTATATTGTTTTTCTCTTCCCTGACCCACTTGAAGAATGATCCTGAAACACTGTTGAAATGTCTGACGATGTGTTATGAGCTTCTGAAGATCATATCCCTTTCTAAAGGAATAGGTCCAACCATTAATGGAATCATTGAATCTCTGGTACGTGGGAAAAAATACTGTTTACATTATGAGTGCATCATAGCTGATCCTTAGGTGCTGGCAGGATGGTGTTTGATTATTTCACAGTTGCTTTGCTGTACCTGCAATGCTGTGTCTGGTGCTGTTAAGCCTTCTCAGAACCTAGTGTCTTGGAGCTGCAGTCCAGATATGCTCCAATGCCACAGCCAGTTGTGGCAGAGAGATACTAAAATAAAACAGCAATACGGTGAATATTTGACTGATGTATGACAGTGTTAAATAGTGCTGAGTTACACTGTGCCAAGTGTGATGCTTAGGCATCTGCTTACCATCCTTGCTGGTACTTCAATTACTTGGATTTTCTATCAGCCAAAGTTATGAGATTCCTAATAGAGAACGTCAAGATTTTTTTTTTTTTCAATTCAAAAGCTTTTTATCTAGGAAAATCTGGAATTCAGACCTCTTCTTTCATCCCTTCCATGTACAGGGAATAATTTGGGGGGGAATTTCCCCCTCCATCCCCCTCTGTTTTCTTTGAAGAGCAAAATATTTCTGTATTGAAGAATAAGGCAGTGGTATTATAGGCCTCCTATAGTCTACAAGATATACTTCCTACTTTTCATTGTGAAGAGTATGGATTTTAAGATGAACATTTCTAAATATCACAGACTTCTAACTGATACTAAATGTGCAAACAAAATGGAAAAAATAATGTGCCATTGTATAAATGGTGCATCCACTTCTGAATACTCCGTGCAATTCTTAATCCCATCTATCTACAAAGTTTATATTTGAATTGGAAGTGGTCAGGAGAAGGGCAGCAAGTATGAAGAAAAGTATGGAATGGCTTCTGTATGAAGAATGACTAAATAGGTTACCTCTTCATATCCTGGTGAAGAGAGGACTTGGGGGTAGGGTCTGAGAGAGGGCAGAAGTCGTAAGACATGAGTGTTATGGAGAGAATGAATAAGGATTGGTTGATCACCCCATAAAGCTAGTAACTAGCAAGCTCAAAACAAATGAAACTAGCTGATTCTTCACCTAATATGTAATCTGTGGGATTCCGTGTTGTAGGATGTGTACATGGTGAACACTTGCATAAATTTCAAGGAAGACTGAGCAAGTTCAAGGAAAATATGGAATGATTAGGTAGATAGGAACAGCCTCTCAGCTCGTGGGTGTTTCAGCTGCACATTGTTGGGACCTTAACAAGAATTCTTGGGAAGTATGTACTTAGTCTGTTTATGTAATACTTCATAGGAATTTGGTTTTGATCTTTTTTGATAACAAGACAATGGGCTAGATGACCTGACTCAGTACGGGCATTTTTAGAATTCCAACTGTAAAGAAAATTACACCACGAATTTAAATTAGCTTAAATGTAGTGGAACCACACCTGATTTTTTTCAGATGTATACAAGTATTCTTAGAAATCCTAATTAGTGTTGATGTGTCCTCCAGAAACCTTTTCTTTTTCATTAGGTCTTGTTTTAATTTTCACATTTGTTGTCTGTTCCACTTTTCTATCTCTAACATCCTTCTTTCATATTGTTGTTCCAGTGGATTTTCACATATTACATGATTTGGGATATCTTATTTGTTTTTGCTTAAACTTGAACTCATGAGTAAATGCAAAAATATAAAATTATGCCATTGTAGTGTTCACCCTGTATCTAGTCTGCTTCTCTTTCATCTAGATTTTTACCATTGTATTCTCAAAACTATTCCAAGTACATGAAAGTGGCATCTGTATTTTTGCATCTTGGAACTGAGTATTGTTTCTCTGCAAGAATGCTAATGTCTTCTATGAAGAAATGTGTAGGTTGTTGTGTAGTTGTTGGATTTTTTTAAAAAATGTCACAATGAGTGGTTAATTGAATTTTTTTTGAAAACAAATATTTGTTAAAAAAAACACAAAGCAAAACACTGAAGTGATTGTTTTGCCATTATTTTATTGCTGATTTTAAACTGCTGACTCTAGATATAAAGATAGAAGATTAACAGAGTATACAGTAGTTACCACTTTCCAATCCTGCATCAAACTAAATTATTTTTAGTTTCAGGGTAAGCACACTTCAGTAGTCATTTTAAAATTTTCAGTTTATGTATTTCAACTATAATGTCTAATATTATTGTTTCCAGATACTTCCTGGCGTAACTAATGTCCATCCAGCTGTGCGAAATATGGCAGTTCTGTGTTTGGGTTGTTGTGCCCTTCAGAACAAAGAATTTGCCCGACAACAGCTTGCATTGCTGTTACAGGTAAAATGCCTGGTGGGAAATGGAATGATAATCTATGTGACTTAGTAAATAAAACTAGTCTTGCATCTGTAACAAGCTATTCTACATAGTCATGTTACTTGAGAACCAGTGATTCATGATTTCCTAAAGATTTGGATCTGGAGAGTGGTTTCATGTAGATTTTTCTGATGTCTAATAACATTCAAGCTTATATTGTGTCTTGATAGTAACATTTCTTTCCTTTGTAAGGTCATCTGTTGTCTTGAAGTTTATAGGAATTCTTTATCTGTCAGGTCTTACTTTCTCTTCCAAATCTGGGTGAAATCACTCATGTATTTTATGTTATTACAAAGAGAGAAGAGAAGCTCTAGGATTCTATAAGATTGCCTTCTTTGGGAAACTAAACTGAAAAATCTGTCTCTGTTCTTAGATTTCCGTGACACACTTACCTGTGATCTTGGGTGTCTAATTTAATTTCTGAATTAGTTTGTGTGGATTAAGGAAGAGATGCTAATTAGAGGATAAAGCAACATTCAAACCAACAAATAATAGCATGGCCAAACATCTATAGATACAGAACATGTTGGATGCCATAATATCCACGTCTCCCACCTTTGTGATAAATGCTCTGATGCTGAGCTAATTATATAAAAGATGACACTATTGTTAACTTCTCAGACCCTGAATTTGAGAGAAGTGTAGCTGGCCATTGTACTTTATTAAGAGTGTGTTCATGTACACACTCAGGAGAACTATCAGCAGGCGTTGAGACGATATGCTCGGTATAGCCAAGACGATAGTAAGCTGTCAGTTACCATAGAACAATAACTTTGGATTCCTAAAAGGTTACCATATACTATTGTTTTTAATTTGCCTTTGAGTATGTCTCATTAAAAATCAGTTTGTTTGTTTAGGAAGGATTTCAGTTGTTTTAGCAATTTAGGCTTTAGACTTAAGTAATTAATTTCTATAGGTACTAAACTCCATAGTCTTTGTGTAGGCTGCCGTCAGAAGCAGAGTGTTGGACTAAACAGATCCAGGATCAATGTATGGCTTTATTTGCATGTTAATTTAACTACAGTACATATAGTAACCTATATAACTTTGACTTTTATTACTGTCTTTCTCCCTGCTGTCTTTTATACATACTGTTTATTTTAATGAAGCTATACTGTATTTTGGAGCAGGGATTGTCTTACGTGTTTTTTTTCTGTAGTGTGTAAGACTATGGAGCTACTATAGGCAAACAGACTTTCTGTTTGTCCAATGTCTATTTAGAAATTGAATAATAAAATTACGTCTTGCATGTGCATGCTCACTCTGTGAGTGAAATTCAATTAATTTGATGTAATGGAAACTGCATAGATGACTTGATAAATTATTTCCCAGACTGTATTAAAAATTCAGGTTTAAACTTGTATCACACCTTCCTAAAGTGTGAAATTTGTCTCATTTATCATAAAAAGGTTCCTAAATTAAACAATCTTATTAAAGCAAAAAACTCTATTATACTTACTGTTAACATTGGTGGTCTCCTCTGAGATGATGTGTGTATTTTCCTTATTAAACCTAGGTTTTACAAATAGATAATATAAAGGTAAAGCTCAGTGCTTTGAAAGCAATCTTTGATCAACTAATGCTGTTTGGGATTGAGCCATTTAAAGCCAAAAGAGGCTCTCAAAGTGAAGATGAAAACATTAGAACTGAAAATTATGAGGAAGAAAGTGAAGCAATAGAAAAGGAAGAAGAGACTGCTGTGATACACAAACTCCTGCAGCTTCTTTCTGGTTTCTTAGACAGTGAGGTAAGAAATACTATAAAATTTGCCTTAAAATGTTTTAAGTGTTTTAATTACTTTTGCAGAAGGTTTACCATCTCATTAGTTTGCATGTGAATATTACATGATGTGTAACTGAAATTAATAGTCATGTTAAAATAGTTGTCCTAGAAAATGACTGCAACTTTGTCACTGATACAGAGCAATGTTACTCTTGAGCTAGCTTTGAATTCTGTGCAGGTGCAAATATGTGAATGCAGAAAATTGACTGGCAAAATAGGATGTGACTTACTATAAAGTAATAGTGAAAAACCCTGTGGTTGGTGTGTTGTGTGTATGATTAGTTTTTTCTTCAGTTTTCAGAACTTAGGACAGAAGCTGCGGAAGGCATAGCCAAACTGATGTTCTCTGGGAGGCTGATTAGTGCCAAGCTGCTTTCTCGTCTTATTTTGTTGTGGTATAATCCTGTGACTGAAGAAGATACTCGGCTTAGACACTGTCTAGGAGTTTTCTTCCCTTTATTTGCTTATGCAAATAGGTATGTCCTTTGTAAATTACTATATGAAAATATACATTGGTCTAGCAGCTTTAGGAACCTTCTTCGGTATTGCAGAAATGCAGATTAGACCTAAAGGTCTAGCTCAGCCTCCTGTGCATGTTACTTGTGAACGTACATAATCTCAACCTGTGACTGTTCTGAAGACTTGCCATTAATTCTCTCTTACCCTGGTGGCCTTCCACTTTTTTTCTTTTGTAAGGCTATAATTGAAACTGTTATTCAAGATACTGAATAAAAGATTAATTTAGAAATATGTGCTTTACTTATTTATGATGTTGTGCACTACAGGTAGACTTTGAAGTATCACTGAAAAGTAGCGGGCAGAAATGCTTCAAAAGAATAATTGGTGCCCAGCAGATATTAAAGCAGCAGGGTAGTTGGTTGTGGTTTGGGTTTGGTTTTGTTTTGTTTTTTAACCAAATAATACTCTAAGTTCACAGCAGATTCAAAATCTTCTCTTTATTTTGGTAGTGGTCAAAGGAGGTAAGAGGTTGTGTAAGGGAATAGGAACCTAAATAGTAATTCTCAACCCCGTTTACTTCCTCAAATAAAAAAAATGTTTAACTTTTCAGTTGCTGCTAGTGGTTTTAGCTAGTCTGAACTAGCTTTTATCTGTTTTTTTAATAATTAAAACTTGTTAGGCATATTATATATTATCTATTTTTCAAAACCAAATTGAATTACCTTTTTTTGGTCTATAAATTTCATATTAAGAGGAGTAGTTCAAAGGGGAGTTGGTCTGGAGAGGAAAAAACCCAGACAAATATATTTTTGTTCTTGTCAGGGGAAAAAAAAAAACCTGAGAAAAATATAGCTAGTCTCCTTCAGAATGGGGTTTTCCCTACTTAAATTATTTTGAAAATAAGTAACAGAAAAACTAGTTCCGTATGCGTCCAGTATTTCTCATATTGAGTAATGAATTTAATCTTTTAACATTTGATAATCTTTTACCTGTGAATGTTGCTTTTTGACCCTGTGAATCTTTATTTTTGTTGTTATTGGTTCTATTGTTTGCCCACCTGAGTAATTCTGTGTATTTCAAAGTCATTTGCAAATGTGTCAACTTGTTCTGACACCTCATAGATCTTTTTCTGAAAAGAAAAACATGGTGCATGCTTTAAGCAAAAATCAGAAAAATCAGTGGAGAAAAAATCCTAAATCTTAGTCTGGCTCATCGATTTTTGAAATCTTTGTTTAGTTCGGAAACTTCATTGCTTTTTTGTCTCAACACATCTGCATTCTGGATCACAAAAGGGTCATTTTAAGATGAATCATTAAGTGTCTTTAGTTACCAATACTGTATTTTTAGAAGATAATTATTAATTACCATGTATAACTGGAAACTGTTTGCAAAGTTGCCATTCAGAAAAGGAAAACTCAAGTAATGAATGAGGTTTGGCTGAGGTTCATACCTAATTTTAGGACTGATCTCTCATTGAATTTAAAAATTCTATTTGTTACCGGGTGCTGCTCTGTTAACCTTTCCATCTGATCACAGATATAATGAAGAGGCTTACTTTTTGAAGTTAAATATTTGAACTCTGTGCAAGGAAAAATAGTTGATGCTGACTTCTATAAATATTGTCATGTCAATAGTGGCATGGCATGCTAATAACAGGGAAAGAATCCTGTAACCAGTGAGCAATTCTTATTCATGGAATGTGTTCTAAAGACTAATAAACTCTCTGGCAGCCTAAGAGGAGAAAGTTCTGCCTTGTGCCTATATGCCACTAGACTTTTTAATTTACAGGAAATATTCTGAATGGGATTTCAGTTATGCTTGAGCCAATCTAAAGCCTTAAAGCTGCCAAAAGGGAGAGTTCTTGCTTCCATTATTTCTTGCCCCAGTTTTAGTGCTCAAAAGGTCTTTTGGTCAGCTGATTTGGCTCATCCCAGCAGCAAGCAGTCTGCTTTTTTAAAACTACTTAATTTTTTGGTTTTTCTTCTGTAGCTATTTGGGTTCAAATAGGAGGTTAACAAGTACCAGAAAGAAAAAGGCTTCACTTCGCCAACCTAGTACCTTGTGCTTTTTGACACCTTACATCTTAAATAATTTGGACTTGTCTTGTGGAACTACAATTTTAGACTACTTGCTGCAGAACCAAGTGCAACGTGATTTTTAGGCTTGCTTGGCAGGAGTTAACTCTTCTGAGAAAAGAAAGCATGACTATTTCTTCCAAAAATCTTTTTAACTGCTGCATTTTTTATTTTTTTTTTGCCAGGCACCTTGCTTTCTTACACAATGAAAAGTATCCCCAAAGAAAAGTGCTAACAGGCAGGAGGGATGAGCAGAAGACAAATTAAATAAAAGATTTACAGAAATGTATTTTTGTCCCTTAAGAGAGAATATGTCTCTATATATCAGTCAGGTTTTCAGTAGGAAGGATGAACTTTCAAACTGTTCAGAGGCAGGAAGTGTTACCTAAAACTTACTTGAAATACCATGTGCTAAAAATTAAAAAGAAATTGGTTCTGTGAAGCACTTTTGATCCTGTTAGCTGTCCCTACTGAGGCTGGCTGCTCCCACTTTGCTTTGATTGATGTACTGTAATGGGTCAGTGAACTTTCATCATGGAAGAGAAACTTAAGGGTGAATGAAGATTTAATTTTGTCTCGTTATGCTACTAATGTGACTTAATTAAAACAGGTCTAACCAAGAATACTTTGAAGAAGCTTATCTTCCAACTCTGCGGACACTGTTAAATGCTCCTGCAACTTCACCTTTGGCTGAAATCGATGTCAGTAATGTTTCTGAACTGTTAGTGGACCTGACCAGACCAAGTGGACTGAAGCCTCAGTCTAAAAAGTCTCAGGACTATCAGGTACAGTGTGTTAAACTGGGAAAAAATAGTATTTGTATCTAGAGACTAAAAACTGACTCCCTTCACTTACTGCTAGCTGTCTGGGCCTCTCTGAGATTCCTAGTGTCAGAAGCTGGATTAAATGAGTAACTGTTTGAGTAATGAAATATTTTAGCTTGACCACCCCTAATTTCCCTTCTCTCCCACAATTCAGAAATGCTAATAGGAACTTGCACCATAGCTAAACTGTCTATACTGGAAAAAGTATTTATAAAAATCAGTTCATGTATGTGCTCAAGATACTGCGTTTTAGGAAAAGGTTTACTCTCTAAAATTAGTCATTAGCTGCTTAAATCAATGATCCATTGCTGCCTTTTGTAAATAGTTCCCAGCAAAAATTCTGATATCTAATTTCTTTCCTTTACAGGACTTAACAGTGCATGATAGTTTGGCAATAAAACTTTGCAATGAAATCTTGATGGACCCAACTGCACCGGATGTTCGTATTTACGCAAAAGCTTTAAATTCACTAGAACTCAGCAGTTCTTCCACAGAGAATCTTCTGGTTCTGCTCAATGAGATTCTAGAGGTAGCACATAAATAACAAGGTTCTTTTTAAATCATAAGCAATCAAATGTTCTGATACGTTTAAAAGTGAAGTGCCTTTTTTTTTTTTTACTATGACAGCGTGGCTGGAATTTCTCTTTTAACCAGTCTTTGAAAATTAATTTTTGATGAGTCATTTACAAAAATCTGAGCTGATGTCACTATATAACTTACATACTTTTAGCTACCGTACATAGTAAGATAAGTGTGAAAGTGTGCTTGATACAGTGGTGTGGTTAATTTTTACTTACTGTGGTGTGGTTAATTTTTTTAACATTAAAATAAAATTCAGTATTAAATTTTTTACAGTTTGAATGTCTTGTTTTTAGTTTTTAGCAGCTGAAATTTTATGCCAAAACTTACAATGTAACTAAGATAATTAGGCAACATGAAAAGGATGCTTGATTTAAGATGAAGTGGGAAGGAATTACAAGAGTGATGTGAAAGTTTTTACATTGATACTGTCATTAATATGGAAAAAATAAAGTAAAATTTGGGAGTGTGACAGAGGAAGACAATGTTATTTAGTAATGTTGAAAAGAATGCTGATCCACTATTGGCATATCATCCAGAGGTAGCTATGCTCCAGGACTTGGCTGAAAAGGTCCACTTGCTTTAATGGTTTTTAGGTTTCCTTGGGGGGAAAAAAAAAAAAAAAAAAAGCAAAGCATTTTGGGGTTTCAGTCCCTGGTGTTGATGGAGAAAGTATTTTTCCTTTCAACTTGACTGATCATGTCATGCATTGCATCCTTCGTGCAGTAAATTTAACTAATCCTATCAGTGAGTAAATTTAATGGATAAAAGAAATGGTTGTAAAATTAAGTAGCATTTCACATCAAATGTCTCTTTTCCAGAAAGTGAAAGATAAACTGTGTCAAAGAGCTATTGAGAAGATCAAGATGCGCTTGACCAAAGATTCTGATATGGCCAAAGACCCCTCTGAAAGGACTGAGGAAATAGCCGTCTCTGAAAAGACACAGGAAACTGACGTCACATCTGAAAATACTGTTCAAAATGAAGAAGGTAATTCAGGAGAGGTGTAGTTTAGTAGTAGGTCTACAACTGAGTGACTTGTTTAGATATTATGAAAATAAGTTTTCATCCATTCAGTTTATCTACTTTTTGGAAAAACAGGAAAAGGTAACATCTAGTAAATAGGCATACAGTTTAAAACATTTGTACTGAAGTATTTTCAATTTTTTATTGCTTTTTGATCAGATTCTGTGTTTTCTTATTCTCCATATTAATCTAGTATAACTAGTGCTGCATTTGGGGTCGTAAGCTCTACCCTGCAGCTCTTTCTTTTTAACAAAGACAGTATTAAAACGCTTTTTTTTTTTTAAGTCATTTGGCATGCTTGTGTGCCTGTCAAATACTAGTGCTAGCTAACTCATCTTTAGAATGTGACTGGAGAAAGAAACAAGTACTCTGTGGGGTCTTGGAATTACCATGACTGTGCTTCTTGCAGACTGTATCATAGCAATATAGAACTGGTACCTTTAGCGTTGACACTGGTCATTCCTTGTTATGAGCTCATATGTTGGAGACAGATTTGGTTTTATTTCTATTTAAAAGCTTGAAGTAGAAGTATCTGGAAAACTTTCCACTGCCTGCACATCTTATGCAGCTGCGTGTGCCTTAGCAGAGTATGCTGTGCTGGTGGCAGAGAAGTCCCAACGTTCTTCAGCATAAGAGCAATTGAATTAAATGTGCTTAGGTTTGCTTGCAGCAGTAAAGCAAAGATACTGACACGCAACTGTTTTAAGCAGATCATGTTTTCTTTTAACGTTTAATTATTTGTTTATACTTTCTAGTGGATTATTTCAGGGTTTTAATCCACTGTTTCTGGAAGTGTCAAATACGTAAATTACTTATATCTTGTATGTTTAAATCTCCAAGTATTTATTGGATGGGAAGTTGGAAGTATGCTTTTGGGAAAATAGTTGTATTGTTTCCTGCTAATATCTGATAATACTTTTTGGTATGAATTTTTCTCATGAAAGAGGATTTTTTTGAGCACTTTTTAAAAGAAGGCTGTAGGAGGAAAACATTGTTCCTTTTCCATCTCCCACTGCTCCCCAAATACATTTGGGATCATTAAAAATAACACAGCATTTACTACTTGAAATTTGTAAATGATGGCTGTGAGCAAGAAGGGCAACAGACTATTTTTGTCCTTCAATTGCTGCAAAGGAGATTTAGATTTAACATTAGGAAGAAAGCTTCCTAGCTATAACAGCGATGGCTGAAGAAAGAAATGTCCTAAAATTATTTGAAATTTTAAGACTAGAATAGAATATTTCAGTTGGAAAGGATCTACAACGATCATCTAATACACTGTCTAACCACTTCAGGATTGAGCAAAAGTTAAAGCATATTTTTAAGGGCTTTGTCTTTAATTACCTCTTAAACATTGATAGGCTTGGGGCATCGGCCACTTCTCTAGGAAGTGTGTGCCAGTGTTTGACCACGCTCTTGGAAGATGAATGCTCCCTAATGTCCAGTCTAAACCTCCCATGGTGCAACTTTGAACCATTCTCACACATTCTGTCACTGGATACTAGGAAGAAGAGCTCAGCACCTCCCTTTTCACTTTGCTTCCTCAGGAAGCTGTGGAGAGCAAGGAGGTTGCCCCTCAGCCTCCTCCAAACTGGGCTTTCCAAACTAGTCCTTAGCCGCTCCTCACAAGACACGCCTTCCAGCCCTTTCACCATTTTGTTGCCCTGCTCACAAGGGTCGGGACGCATTCGAGTCCTGAACACCCTTCTTAAACCGTGGGGCCCAGAACTGCACCAGCACTCCCGGTGAGGCCGTGCCAGCGCTGAGCACACAGGACAACCGCCCCTTTTTCCCGCTGGTTGTGCGGTTTGCCCTCCTGGCTGCCAGGGCACACTGCTGACTCGCGTTGAGCCTGCTGCCCACCGGCCCCCCAGATCCCTGTCTGCAGCCATTCCTCTCCCAGTTCATACCTGTGCCCACTCAGCCACATGAGCACACTGCTGGCTTGTGTTCAGCTAATGGACATTCAGCTGATAGAGCTGGTCTCTTACAATTTCACTGTCCTCGAATGGAAAGTCTCTGTTCCCACTCTTGTGGTCCTCTGACTTCTAGAGGACTGGACAGCCTGAGGTCCATCAGTATTATTAAAAACTGAGGCAAAAAGACATTGAATGCCTCCAGCTTTTCTTAATCTCTATTAGCTGGGTGGCCATCTTCAACAAGTATTGGTTCAATGTTTTCTCTAGACCTCTTCTTGCTATTAATATACTTAAAGCCCTTCTTGCTATCTGACACAACACCAGGCAGTTTCAACTCTAAGCTTTGGCCTTTTATGTCTTCTCCCTGCATATATGAATGACAGCTCTGTACTCTCCCTGCAAAGCCTGACCTTGCTTCCAGAGATCATACAGTTTCTTTTTCCTCTTGAGCTCCACGAGGAGTTCCTTGTTCTGCCAAGCTGGTGTTCCACCACACTTGCCTGACTTAAGACACGATAGAAGGGGCTAAACAATTGTCAGGAACAGTTTACATGTGATTGATCTATGTTGGGGCAGGCTTACAGCTGAGTGACATTTTAAGCTTCCTTCTAGCCTTATTATCTAATTTTTAGGGTTTTTTAAAAAAAGGGGTTAAAATTATGTGGCTTTTTTATATAACAGCCAAAATTTAAAATAGTGGTCTTTAAGATAAACTTAAAGTTGATTATCTGTAGCTTCTGCATGTATTATTCTGTTTAACAGAAAATATTAAATTTCTTCAAGCTCCAGTTAACGAAGTTAAAAGTAATGCAACTGCAAAAGTGAAGTCCACAAGAAACAAAGCTGGCAAAGGTATGCACGAACTTTTTCTGGCTCCAATCATCATTGTCTTTAATAAAATAATTTCATACTAACTTTTTGTGAACATACAGATACAAAAACCATTCAGCCTTCATACTCCACTGTAGATTTTAAAATTTTATTTAAAAGATTAAAGTAGTCTGGTCTGTGGAAATTTTTGTGCTCTTAGCATCTCCCAACAACACAGATTTCAATGAAAAAAAAAGTCTGACTACAGGATTTCAAGATAATTTGGCCACAGTCATTTACAGTAATGTACAGGTTTTTATGGAAGAAGTGGTACATTGAGGATTTTCTGTTCATTTTGTTTTGTCACCACATTCTGTCTGGGGTGACTGCATATTTATACGTTTCAATGCAATATCAAACACTGAAAGATACAAAACTACTTTAAGAAAATAAATGCTATCATGATAACTAAAGAGGCTTTTGCTTATACTTAGGACAACGGAAAGCAGCAACAGAAGTGAGGTCTGTGAGCAGAAGAAAAACAAGCACAGCTGTAAAATGCAGTAGTGAAAGGTAAATCCTTTTCTCTCCACCATCAAAATTGTGCTTGTTCTAGCAAGGAAGTTTAATTAAAATGTTTTTCAAAATCTGCATCTTTAACATCCTCTATTCCTAATACACAGATATTTAAGAAAATAAATTTTTTTGAACTGCTCCTTTTGAAACAATAGCAGGTTTGACAGCTTTGCATTTTATTATCATTGCCTAAGAGCCTGTAACTTTTTTTCCTTTTTTGCATTTTGTGCATCGAATTAACATACATTCTAGCTGACAAAAGTTAGATTCTTGGCTTACATTATTACTCTTCCAATCACTCTTTCTGCTTTTTTACTAACTGTTCTGTGGAGAAATCAGATTTTTAATTTTTTTATTTAAATTCCTTTTCCCCTTCCACTTTCTTGTTGCTTGTTTCTCAACATATAGTTGTCAAGCTTCTAGAAGTGACTGATGAGTATACACAATGCATTCCTTCCCTTAGGATCTTGTAGGATATAAGCATTAAAATGACATTCTTTGTAATTTTCAGCTGTGCTCACTGTTTCTCAAGCAAGTAATCCATGGACTTTAGGGTAACCAGGGTCAGTCGTTCCCATTTGCCTGTTTGATGTGTTTCCTTTGATAGCATGTAATCTTTTGGGGGCTTTGCATATTTTGCAACTGCTGACACTTGGTTATCTTTACTACTGTATCACTTTGGAAAGCATTAATATATTCTTCTTAAAAAATAAAGTTTATAATTAGGAAGAAGTACTTTTGCTCTTTAAGGACCATGTTTCAAATTTGGTAATATAAAAGCAGTTCAGTTTGCTTAGTCTTTTTGGCCTTACTTTAAAATATTTTGTATTTCAGTGGTGATGAAATTCCAGAATCGGTCCCAGTGTCAAGTTCAAGGCCTTCAAGGCGAGCAAAAACAGTGGCACTGGAAAAAACAAGAATGAATCTTTCAAAACTTTTGGAAAGGGAAGCAGATCAATGAAGACAAAAGAAGAGAAAGCATCATTTGCTAATGCTGGTAGTTAACATCAGATTTGAAAAATGAGATTTGTTTTGTTGTTAGTATATTTAAGTCTATTATATGATCATTTAGAATTCTAGATTTTTAGGAACTTTTTTTAAAAATAGATGCTTTTGATTATTTTCCTGATATGGAGTCCATCATTCATGTAATAAAAACATAATAAATATTACCTGAACAAAACTTGGATTTTTTTTTTTTTAATGTTATAGAGGAGAATGCTTTTTGTCTGCAAATAAAAATTGCTGTTGGTGGCAAGTACTTAATAGTTAATGCTTTTTTGATGTTTAACATCATTCAGAGAACGTTTGACCTAGAGTGGTTGCTTGTGATGGCAGCAATTTTGAATGTACCTACCTTTAATGCACATACTTTCTTCATTTATGAGCACGTGGATCTGCTGACCAGGTTTTTATGGTTCATGTTAATATAAAATAGAATTAATCTTAATTGTGAATTCTGCTTTCTCCAGATATGTGTCCACTTTATTTTAAATAATGTCAAAATGGTAAAACTGAGTTACTGACATAGGTCAGTTACTTAGGTTTGTTACTTAAGTAACAAACAAGTTACAAACCTAAGCCTGGAAGCTTGCTACTGATCTTAACTTTGTTATATAAAATCAGTGATGTACTTTTAGAAAAGCATAGAAATATTCGTGGTACAAAATAAGATCCAATAAGGAATACTTAAGTACAGAAAGAGCAAAGAATGAAATACTGTGTAAGGTCTGTGTGCTGTCCTTTTAAAATAGCATACAATTGTGATTTCTTTGTAGCTTTGAAGTTCACAACCCTTTTTCTAATGACATATTTAGGAATAGTCATGGGTTTTACAGACAATAGAAGATTAAAGTCCATGTAGTAGTCACTGGTGGCTGAGCAGATTCACTCTGGAAATGCCAGTTTTTTGGTTTGGAAACAGCCAGTCATCTCTGTTACAATACAGATAATGTCCAAGGCAGATTGAGAGAACTGTCAGTTGCTTGACATGTGCGTGTCAGCTACTGATGCTGACCGTAGGTTTCTAAGGAATTTGCATTTAAAATAGGTAACTATACTGTAAATGATCTCTGGTAATTCTCAGAAATGGCTTAGGGACCCAAGGGAAAAGCAGCGTTCCCAAAGTGTAGTGCCCAACTATTATGCTATTTTCAAGCTTGCATATAGGAAATGGGCAGGACTGTGTTGCTTTTCCTCCCTTTCAGATTTTGTTGGAAACTTGTCAAACCACAGAATGCCATGACACACTTTTCTGCTGATATTTGCTATTCAGGAGCTTATGTAACTGTGAATTATTTTTATTCATCTTTTTAAACAAAACTCTGAAGTCCTGAGCTCCCTCTTTTGATAATTCTTTTCTTCAAATCCTCAACTTGTGTTCTAGTGTGAGTTTGCATACGTGCAACCACTTGAGATCAGAGAGAGTGTCCCCTTGACTGAGCATAGTTCCAAAGGGTGAAGTATATGTTTTCAGTTGTTCAGTTGATTGTCAGTCAGAGCTTCACTTGTGCTTTAAAGTTTAAGTGTTTGGGTTGGTTTTTTTTTTAATTTCAGTTATGAGTTGTCTCTCACCCTCACTGTTGAGTAGTTTGCTCTTCTGCCACTAATACACTTTCAACACCTGGTGCTAGTTGGTTAAAATGAGTTTCTAGGAAAAGCAGGAGCAATAAAAATTTATAAAGGCTTCTCTGCAAATGCCTTCCTGAATAATTTGAAGTTTTGCCTTGCTGTTCTGTTGTGCCTTGCCACACACGCAGGTTCTGTCTCTGGCATCTCTTAGGAATGCTGTGCTGAAAAGATCAGGTTTCCCTCAAGTCACCCCTCAGTGGATGTCTCTGCTGTGGATGTGGCTTCAGTGGTGTGTATTAATGGACAGCAGCCAGTGACAAACTGGCGTGAGTTCAGTGGAGGCCCCCGGGCTGCTGGGGGGCTGGAGCACTTGCCCTCCGGGGAGAGGCTGAGGGAGCTGGGCTTGTACAGCCTGCAGGTGTTGGGAGGACCCCCAGTTTACCTACAGGGAGCATGCTGAGGAGATGGAACTGAGCTCTTTGTTGCATATGATGGGAGGGGAAAAAAACAGTGGGTTTAAGTTGAAACTCAGACCAGAATATGAGGAAAAGGCAGTGGAACAAGTTGAGAACAGTTGGAACAGGTTGCCTGGAGAGGCTGTGCAGGCTCTGTCTGAGGAGGTTTGCCTGCTGTGACCTCACAGCTGGCCTGTAGCACTGCAGACCTCCTGAGAACCCTCTGTGCATGAATTACTCTGTGAACCTCTTTTGGGCTAGAAACCTCGCCAGCAACTGGCACATAATTTCCAGCCTCTCTGGGTCTTCTCCTGCCCTGCTCCCTGTCTTCTGTGCAACAGGAAATTTGGTATGCTCATGCAAAATTACTTCATCTTTTAAGAAGGATGGCTGCTTCACTACAGGGTAGGATAATCAGATGCATGTTGTATTTTTCAAAGCTGATTATTAGCAATAATCAAGGTTTAAACATACACAACTGACTTTCTCATAAAGTTGCATGTGGTAGCAATAGAGTATATCTGAAGGGAGTAAGGAGACAAGTCTGGAAGTATCTTACTGCATGCAGTGAAAAAATCGACTTAGTGTGCATTAATCCTTGTAGCTTAAAAAATGTTGCTGATTTTTATTTACTTTATTTCTGTGCGTTGAAAGTACCTAACTTGTTGGCTGCTTAATTAAGGAATAAAATGTTAATCCCTAAAATATTCTAATTGATTTAAAACCTGCCTCTTTGTTGCTCTGAACCAATTATTGTGCATCCTCTCTCTTTTTGCTGGCTAAACACAACAGGGTGTCAAACACGAGCCACAGTAGACCTAGACCTGATTCAATATCAAATGATGATAAAATAGTAGTGGTGATTTGTTGTCAAACTTAAAATGATCCCATGTTTATTTCTACACTAATTTTTGTTTCTTAAAACCAGTTTTGTGACTGTTTGCTTGTCTAACCAGTCTCTTCCGACTACACACTAAAAGACTTTCTCTTGATTAGTCTCCTTTTGCTGGTTGCTATCTCAAGACAAAGGGTGAGTGTTGCACCAAGAACATTTCTTTTTCTAATTTTGTAGTTTGTCTGACTTAGAATTGGGTAGTGAGCTTGGGTTGGGCCTGTATCTGACTCCCATCTGAAACTCACTGTGCCACAAAGGAAGGGATCATAATTGTTAAAGTTGATGAAAACAGACAGCTGCTTGGAGGTGACATGTCTGGAACAGAAAGGTTCTGGTTTTTACCTGGTCTTTCAAATGAGAAAGTTCACATGGCATCTCCTTCAGGCGCGCAAACAAGATACCGGCTGCATCAGTTCTACTGCTTGTGACTGGTTTTATGTTCCTCTTCGGACAGCCCTGACTCCTTACTGTTCTTTGTGCTTTGGTGAGGCCCCCCCGAAGGTCACTTCAGTGCCTCTTCCCCAGGAAGTTTAATTCTCTTTTTGGCTTTCTTGCCCCACAGAATACAAGTGCATTAAATAGTTGAGCTCTATAAAGACTCTAGACAGTGTGATGATGAATGTTCACTTGTTCTGCACTGTCTGACACTTCAGTGACTTGATATCCTTGTGGGATCTTGTGCAACTTACCGGAATTCACAACAATCTCATTTCAGTTACTAGATTGTAACAGTAAACCAACAAACTTCTTCACAGAAGAACTGCATCTCCACTTTTAAGTAAGATGATCATTTTAAGTGAATCCTTAAAACCTGTGTTTTATAAAATACAGTGTCTGTCCAAGGAAACTTCCTTCTGGAAAATTAGTCCTTGGCAAGTAAAGGACAGAACCTAGAAGTTGAATTCAGCAGCCTCTACTCTAGCTCTTGAATGTATGACTCCAGAAAAGAGAAATATATCATATGGTTTTATTCTAACACTTTTGTTATAGCTCTATTAATAAAGTTTTGATGAATGAAGTACATGAACCTAAGGCTGATCTAAGCATGGAATGTCTACAATTTAGTCAGCTATAACCATTTACTACTTCTTTGAGTAGAGCTTAAAATTTTGATGTTTACATTGAATTTCTAAAGTACACCAGAAAAAAAATGAAATAGGAAGAGCATTTACATCCATTTTAATTGGTGGCAGGCATAAATTCATAAAAACAAAAGGGGAAGAAAGACCATTAAGCAGAAACCTCAAAAAGTGCAGATACAGATTTGTTGAATGACAATCTTTCAAGAGCTTCTCCTGCAGCCTTGGCCTTTCTTTTAGACATTACAGTCATTAAACACTGTCACACAGAAGTTCTCAAGATAAATGAAGATAAAAGCTTACTGCAGAAACAATCTGCTTGTTCAGTACATTTCAATCCATTTTCAAAGGAGATATCCTCAGATAATTTACCTTTTTACTGCTCTGCTTCGAGGTAGTCGGTCTCCACCTGTTACAGATTTGTTTGAATTGTTGTTATCATAAATCTTTACATGGTGACCTATGCCACAAATTACAGAATATATTAATTTTCGTGCACAAAAATAAAATTGGGAAATAATAATTAAAGAACATAGAAAAATCACAATACTATTGAAGGGGAACATCTGATTCTGATATAAATTTGTACTGCAAGAATTTCATGGTGGTCAGATGTGAAACTTCATATTTAAAAAAAGAAAAAGTACATCAAAATGAATAATGCTAGTAGTGATATAAAGCCAAATCACACAAGATCATTTCAAGATCAATGTAATAAGTGCTTATTATTCAGCAGAAAAAAAAATCAGGAACAATGTACAAAATAATAGTGCAAGAACAGCTGCAATCTATTTGTTCTCATCAGTTTTGAGATTTTGGTTAAAAACTTTACAGCTGGCGAGAGATGCTGCTGAAAAACTCAGATTCCACTCAGTGGGCTGATTAAGGCACATCTTTATGGACTTCAAATGTTCATTTTCTGTGTTCATGTCTATTGAATTCTGCGGCTCCGAGACTTTCACTTGTAGTGTGCTGTGAGAAAAGAAGTGGGGGTGGGAGAGGGGGAAAAAAAAAATGAGAAAAAGTTTAGTACACTTTCTTCCTCCCAGGCAAACAAGCAAACTGCTAAGAGGCAAGATGAGGTGGTGGCAGATTGCATGTACTGTTGGTTTTTTTTGCTCTTTTACTGCACTACGTTCCAAGAAACACTGATATCAGAACCTGACTGTGCTGTACTCTCCGTGTTGTAAAAGTAGCTCGGGCTTGGTGTTGCTGAGGTCCTGCCACTTCGCAGAGACTGTCCTGGGCCGCTCTCGCGGTAGCGCCCGCCTTGGCCCAGAGGAGGTGTGGCTGCAGGCTGGCCTCTCCATCGCGTCCAGCTGACTACTGCAAAACCGTACAACAGGAACCCAGCAACAATCTGGGGTTGGGTTTTTCTGCTGACATTGTTAATTCAGTACAGCTGCAAAAGCACTAGTAGAGAGACAGTTTTTATTTTGTTTCAAATCCAGGAAAATAAGTAATACAAAGAAGGGAAGCAAATCCAGGCCTTTGTGGGGATCACTAAGCAGGCTAGTAC